TGTTGCCCCCTGCCCGCAGATACGAGAACGGCCGGGGGAGCTCCCATCAGCAGCAGGTCACCTGCTACCCCTTCAGAGACGTCAACAACTGGTGGATTGTGAAGGACCCTGGGAGGTGAGCAGCGTGGTGGATTGTGAAGGACCCTGGGAGGTGAGCAGCGTGGTGGATTGTGAAGGACCCTGGGAGGTGAGCAGCGTGGTGGATTGTGAAGGACCCTGGGAGGTGAGCAGCGTGCAGCCGGCCTGGCAGCCTGGCCACGGCCTGTCTGGGGCCAAGTCCTGCTCGGCCACTCCAGTCAGCCCCTGGCCTTGAGTACCAGCTCCGTGCTGACCGGTCCAGGCGTGGGGGCAAGGGCAGTGGACCCCCTGGGAACTGCCTGCTCAGTTTCCTCCCTTGGGAGTCTTGCAGGCATGCCCCAAACTTCCCTCTTCTGCGCCCATCCACTGCCTCTCCCCACTTGTGAAAACAAGATTCCCCCCCACTGGAGAGCAGCTTCCTCTTAGGCCTCAGGGGGAGGTCTCTCTGGCTCTCCCACCTCCAAGAGAGCTCATGAAATCCCGGGTCCTTCCCGAACCTGCAGTGCCCACTCCTGCCTGCCCACCCCAGCGAGGCAGCCCGTGGGGTCTCTTCAAGTGGAACTTACTGAGGCCCTGTGCTGCCTCGCCCTCTTCTGAGCCTCAGGGTCTGTGGAGCCAAGTCCTGGATGAAGTAGCTGCTGCCCCAGGCTCCTTCCTGCCCACCCTGTCCAAGGCCCCGGCCTGCCCTGTGTCCCCTCTCCCCTGAGGCCTGCTGCTCAGGAGGCTTCCCCAAGCACCATCTCCTAGGTGCCCTTCCTCTGTCGCCGTCCCTGTTGGCTTCCACTTGTCCATGTCACACGGTGCCAGCCATTGATCTCTTCACTCGCTCCCATGCACTTCTCAGCCAGCCACACGCTCGGCACCCAGAGCTGTCGGGAACACAACAGGCCCTGCAGGACCTCCCTAATGAGTGCCCAGTGAGAGCCTGCCCTCTGGGGAAGGACTCTGGGCAGTGCCAGCATTCTCTGCCAGTTACAGAGCTGCCTAGATGTGGTGGGCACACGAGAGTCCACAAGTGACTTTAGGTTTCCAAAGAGAATCATGTAAATCCTTAGTGCCTTGTTTTACCTGAATTGGCCTCACGTGAAGCACAAGTGGGTGGGAGGTTCCACATTTCTACGCCGCCTTCCGTGAGGCCTCGGAGCTCCGCCACTCTGGGAGGGTGGGAGCGTGAGGACACCAAGCTGGTGTGGTCCTGACCGTGCCGTGTGGTCTTCCAGGCATCAGCTGGTAGTGACCAACCCTCCGAGACCCGTGCGGCATGGGGACATTGTGCAGCTGGTGCACGGCATGACCACCCGCCTCCTCAACTCGTGAGTGACTGCGCTTGCTCACTGGCTGCCTTTGGGGCCTTCTGTGCCACTCTGCGTGTGGAGCAGAATATGATCACCCGCACAGCCCTCCCATCCGCCCTGGGGGGTGTCACCGCACCTGCATTGGCAGCTACTGCTGAAGGGGATCCCCAGAGTAGAGCACTGACTGCTCCCCCAGTAGGAGGCCTGGGGACCCCTTGGAAAGCCATGGTTTCTGGCGAACTGCCAAGCACTGCAGAGAGTGGAGCACATTCCACGCAGTGGACAAGTAGGCCGTGCCACCTGGGTGGCGCTGGGTGGAAACAAGCCCAGGGAGAGCTGGGCTGGGGCCAGTGTGCTGCAGGGGCTTGTCCACCTTCCTTTTATGTGATTTTTTAAATATAAATATATAATTTTGAGACGAGCAGATAGTGTAATGGCTACCTCGCTGGACTCCCATGTAGTCGACTGCGGTTCAAGTCCTGGACTCGGTGGCTTAAACTCACACTGGGCACATGTGCGTGCATGCCCAATATCCCGAGAGGAGAAAGGAGGAGAAGGAATTGTGGCATGGCCAGCCCCCCTGGGGGTGATTTCTTGCTTTCTGTCTCTCTGTCTCTGTCTTTCTGGTGAGCACACGTACCCTATAGTGAAAACCTCTCAAAAATATATGTATATAGGGAACCAGCAGTTGGCATAATGGCTATGTCGCTGGACTCCCACGTAGTCGACTGCGGTTCACGTCCCGGACCCAGTGGCTTGGAACTCACACCGGGCGCGTGTGCGTGCGTGCCCAGGATCCTGAGAGGAGAATGGAGGAGAAGGGATTGCGGCGTGACCATCCCCCCTGGGGGGGTGATTTCTCGCTTTCTGTCTCTATGTCTCTCTGTCTGTCTGGTGAGCGCATGCGCCCTATAGCGAAAACCTCTCCCCCCCCCAAAAAAAAATATATATGTATATATAATTTTTTTTGTTTCATTTTGGCTAGAGGGCACATTTGCTCACCAGCGAGACACGGGTGGGGGAGGAGGGAGTGAGAAGTCAGCAGCCCCGCAGCATCTTCTTCGGTCTCTTTGGGATTTGGGGCACGCATACACTGATGCCCAGCATGATTTTCAAGTCACCAAATCTGGGACTTGAGCTCCATAATTGGCCACGTGGAATCCAACGCCTTAACCCCTGTGCCATCTACTGGCCCAATACTTTTTTTTTTTTTTTTTTGAGAGATTTTTTTCTATAGGGCACCTGTGCTCACCAGATAGAGACTGACCTAAAACAAGAAATCACACTCCCCCGTGGCACAGTCCCTTCTCCATTCTCCTCTTGGGATCTTGGACACATACAACACATACACACATGTGCCTGGCATGAGTTTCAAGCTGCTGGGTCCAGGACTTGAACCCTAGTCACCCATGTGGGAGTCCAGTGCCTTAACCACTTTGCCACCTGCTGGCCCCTAATACAATTTTTTTAACTTGCCAGAGGGCATGGATAATTACTAGAGAGGGAGTGGGCCATGCTGCAATCCTTTCTCCATTCTCTCAGGATTTTGGACACACATGCCCATGTGTGCTTTTCAAACTGCCAGGTCCAGGACTTGAACTCCCACATGGCATAGTTGGCCACGTGGGATCCAGCAGCCTTAACCTCCATGCCACTGGTTGGTCCTGCACGTGTCCTCTTTCTTTCTTTCTTTCAAGCTTATTTCTTTGTTCCACGAGAGAGCGAGACAGGCAGAGAGAGCGAGACAGGCAGAGAGCACACCCCCAGCAAGGTCTTGATCATCCACCGGCTCAGAGCGTGAGCACATGCTTGCCCAGCATCTCAGGGGTCTCTGGGTGCGAACCCGGAGCCTTCCTGTGGGGTCAGTGCACAGAGCACTGCCATCCAGGCCCCAGCTCTCCTCTCCCTTTCCATGCCCTTGTGTGCAGCATGGCGCAGCCTGGCACCGTTGGCCACGTGCCGGGGCAGTGCTTCCAGAGGGGTGCGAGGCCTTATCTCTGTTCAGTGCTGGGTCTCCACCCCTGGGTAGTGCCTGGCATAAAGGATGGTGAACGTGACTCCTGAGTGAGTGTTCACGAGGTTGATCCCGCAGAGGGCAGGCTGGTCTTCAGCCCAGACCAGCCAAGCTCTGCCGTCAGGGTCCTGCTGGCCGGAGCCTGGCAGTGTGCGAGGACAGTCCCCAGCTCTCACGAGAACAGTTCCTTCCTCTGAGACCCGGTTGCTCACTGGGAGTGGAGTGGGGGTTACCCACACTGCTAAGTGAGTTCTGCAGAGTGGCTGCCTGCTGGCACTTGGCCAGGCCCTCAGCAGAGCATCCTGGGGCAGTGGCCACCAGCAGGGGACCAGGCCAGCTAAGCTGGCCTTGTTTCTTTCCTTTTCTGTTTTTTTGTTTTGTTTTTAAGAGAATTTTGCCTTAGGGCATGTGCACTCACCAGAGAGACAGAAAGTGAGAAATCACCCCCAGGGAAGATGGCCATGCCATAGTCCCTTCTCCACTGTCCTCCCAGGATCTTGGGCACACACACCTACGTGCCCAGCATGATTTTCAAGCCATGGGGTCCAGGACTTGAACCGTAGTCGGCCACGTTGGAATCCAGTGACGTAACCATTATGCCATCTGCTGGTCCTAAGCTAGCCTTGTTTCTGGAAAGCAGCCTTTTTCCCACTGTGAAGGAATAGCTGCTGCCTCTCAGGGGTGTCAGAGGAGTTCCTTCCAAAGCCCGCATTTGTCGTCTTCCAGGCACGATGTCGCGGCCCCACTGAGCCCGCACTCGCAGGAGGTCTCCTGCTATATCGACTACAACATCTCCATGCCCGCCCAGAACCTCTGGAGACTGGTGAGTCGCCTTGGACGCTGTGCCCAGAGGAGCAGGCCTCACTGCTGGTAAATAGCAGCCCATGCTCTTCGGGCGTGAAGGTAGCTACACGAGTTCCCGAAGTCTGAGCTGCTTTCACGGGGACAGACGCCTGTTCTGCTGTCAGCAGGGAGCTGGGCTGTCGGGCCTCAGCAGCTGGCGTCTACCGCCACATCTGAGACGCTCTGTCTCTTGGGCCATGCATGTTCACTGGCCCTGCCGGGGGAAGCCTACCTTAGTGGTTCACTTGTTCGCCCCTGACACCAGGGCCTGGGAGCTCCGGCCCCTAGTCCTGGAGAGGTGCCTTCCCACCAGCCCTTGCCTGGGAAATCGCCGAGTCTCCCTGGGAGAGGCGTGACCATCAGTGCCAGGGCCTGCTGGGGCAGCTGGGCCTGTGACCAGGGAGTGTGCTTCCTATGGGGTTGGGTCTCCATGATGGTGGCATGAAGACCATGTGCCATTTCTGGCCATTTCACTGACTGTGGACCTAGGGACGCAAGTGAGGGGCACAGCCATCAGCCTAGTGACCTGGCCCTGGGTAGATGCTGAGAGCCGTCCTGAGAGCCAGGCTCACAGTCCTACTCCTGCCCGGGTTTGGCTGTCTCTGCTGACACCAGCCGCCCCCTCTCCTGCTCTCCACATGCAGCTGGCATGGTGCCTGCTGGCAGCCCTGAGCAAGCCCAGTGTCTGCAGAGACCAGTGGGCCTCGCTGACACCTCGCCAGCCCGCTGGCCCTCGCCTCTGCCTGCCATGCACTTAGCCGTGTGCCCCCTTCCCACCGGCCCGCTCCCTGATGGAAGTTCTGCAGAGTGCCTCACTGCGCCCGGCTCTGCCTGCTTTCCCTCTCTGCCTTCTTGCTGCCGATGGTCTGTTGATGAGCCCCCACTAGGATGGCGCCTCCATCGCCAGGTGCCCACATTGCAAGTTAGCGAAGTTCTCTGAACAAGAAGGGGGTGACAAGGTGGCCACGGGAGTCGATGCCCAGTCCCTGCTCTCGCTTGGAGTTCTTTGAGCTCATCAAAGTGGAAAAAGCAGTAGCCACGTGACCTCGCGGGATCGTTGCGAGGAGCCCAAAGCCAGGAGGTGACGGTGCAGAGTGCTCTTTGGATGCCTGTCGCCCGCGTGCCCAGGACAAGGTGCCCTCCCTGGGGCATTGTTCAGGATGGTGACTAACCCTCCTCTGAGCCATCTTGGTATGTGCCAGTAAGGATAAGGACTGGCCATACTGACCAGAGCTCGGAGTGCTCTCGGTGAGGGAGGCCCGGAACACACCCGACTCCCGACTCAGGAAGTGGGTCTCTGCGGCCCCGACGGGACGGTGCACTTCCTCCCAGCCTGGACCTGTGTGGTATGCTGTGGAATGTCGAGGCGCTTCCTGGGCCCCCTGCCCTAGTTTGGGGCTTGTACCCTCCTATCAGACCCAAGTTTTTGTTGTCGTTTTACATTTTTATTTAGGTTTGTCGTGTTCAGAGGGCGGGAAGGAGGATGAAGCTGGCACTCTTCCCGTTTGCTCTCCACTATGCACATGTGTGCACGCCAGGAAACGCCTACGCAAAGCCAGACAAAAAAACATGAGTCTAAAACACTGTCAAGCTGTATCTTCAAGCTGCGTGAATATTTCTTTTTTTTGTTTGGAGAGGTTTTTGCTATAGGGCATGTGCACTCGCCAGAAAGACAGAGAGACAGAAAGCGAGAAATCACCCCCCAGGGGGGATGGCCACGCCACAATCCCTTCTCCTCCATTCTCTTCTCGGGATCTTGGGTACACATGCAGATGCACCCAGCATGAGTTTAAGCCACCGGGTCCGAGACTTGAACCGCAGTCGACTACATGGGAGTCCAGTGACATAGCCATTACACCAACTGCTGGTCCCCAGATATTTCTAATTTTAACCAAAAGAATAGATCATACAAAATCAAATGACAAAAAAATCCTGAAAAAACAGCATTATTATTTTTAGCTGCCAGAAAGGTGCACGTGCTCGCCAGAGATAAGCAGAGAAATGGGGAGAAAGCACCCCCAGTGGGGCAGGACCGTGCCGCAGTCCCCTCTCCATTTCTCCATCCTTTCGAGATCTGGGGCGCAAATGCACCTGCCCCTTGCATGCACAAATGGTAGTGTTACCAGAAGAAATACTTACGTCACTGAACAATCGGTGGTGGTCTCCGTGTCCCTGGGACTTCAGAGCCACTCATCCGTGCCAGCTTCCAGAAATGAGGACAGACTGTAGTCATCTTTGTTCTTTGAAGCTTCATCAGAACTTCCTACAAGATCTGGAACCTCCTTGTCCTCGTCCTCCTCAGTGTCTTCTGATTCTGGGGCTTTGCTGTCCAGGGGTTTGCAGGAGCTGTGCAGCTGACCCCGAGACCTGCCCCACTGTCCACGCTAGCTGCTGTGTCCCTCCAGCATCTGTGGGGCTGGCGTCCGCGTGACCAGCGATTGTGGTGGTGGTAGCGGAGAGGGCGGCGCGGACTAGGATCTGACGTGAATAGCTGTCCCGTCCTTGCGCTCAACCTTCGGTACCAACTGTATTTCACAGAAATACAGTGTTCTAGAGAGCTGAAGCTTTTGTCATCAGCTGCAGCTGTTCTTGGCGGCTCCTTCCCGCCTGCGAGTGGACCCTCACTTCCCCTTCCGCAGCTGAAGTGGGGAGGCCGCTCTAGCACCGGCACGGGAAGGAGCAGGGTGTCTGCTGAGACCAGCCTGAGCTGACCTCATTGCTCGGTGGGTCACCACGGAGCCTGCTCCTTCACGTCTCCGTCCTGTCAGGATCTGGGGCAGGCGCATATAAGTGCCCAGTGTCATTTTCAAGCCGCCAGATCTGGTATTTGAGCCACAGTTGGCTGTGTGGGATCTGGTTCCCAAGGCACAAGCTTAACCACTGCCCTGTGGGCCGGCCCCTCTACCAGTCTAGTTTACGTTTAAGGAGTGAAGTGACCCCAGATCTGTCTCCACAGGACATTGTAAACAGAGAGTCGGACACAGATGTCTGGAAGACCATCCTGTCGGAGGTTCGCTTCGTGCATGTGAACACATCTGCCATCTTGAAGGTAAAGGGGCTGGGGCTCTCAGTCCCTACACAGAACTCAGGCTAAGCTGCCCCGTGCGGGGCAGGACACCTGGCTGAAGTCACCGCCGTGTTCATTTCCACCGAGGGAGGAGGGTTTCCTAGCTACTCAGGACAGAAGCGATGGGCGCAGGGGCCACCTGCTGACGGAGTGACCAGGGGTCGCCTTCCTGCTGGAGCCCAAGTGAGACACGGGCTTCGCCGTCAATGCCCTTGACTTCCTCGGTTTTGCCAGCTGAGCGGGGCACACCTCCCGGACTGGGGCTTCCGGCAGCTGGAGGTCGTGGGGGAGAAGCTGTCGCAGGGCTACCACGAGAGCACAGTGTGGAACGTGGAGGAGCACCGCTACGGCACAAGTGAGTCCACGCACTGAGCTGGCCTGCTTGGATGGCGGCCCTGGCCCCGGCTCCTCGGCAAGGAGACCTGGGTGCTCAGTCCCCGCGCTTAGCTGCAGCCAAAGTGGCTCCAGGGGTCGCTCTGAGGTACCGCTGGAAGGGAGTTGGCTTATCCACTGCCAGCTGTGTTTTCCAGGAAGGTCTGCGTTTGACAGGTGGTTGGTGCTGGGTGTGGGGGGGTAGACTGCGGTGGACAGTGTGGCGGCCTGACGTGTGGGCTGCTTGCAAAGCAGGGAAACGAGCCACTCGCCGAACTGATGGGCTCTGCTCTGACCC